CCAGCTACCATTCTTGACGTTGAGGGTCAGTCCAACAAGCTCATAGCTGCTGTACATGCGACCACTCCTTGGACGAGATGCGTTCGGCAGTACTTGCTCCACAAGGTAGATGCTCTTCCAGGCTGCATCTCATCAACGAAGAACAAAAGGACGAAGATCTCCTATTTCGTTGGGGCTCTGGACAACGCATCATGGCGACTTTTCAGACAGATCGATGCCGCGTGCTTCCAGAAACTACTCATCGATTGGAACCGCCTGGCGCGAGCTATGACTTCTAACGGTGGTGAAGCAAGCTTTGGAACATGGACCGACTGGGGTTGTGCCTTTGACTTCCTGGAGACGCAGACGAAGTGGGATGGATCCGCGTTCGAGGCGTACATTCAGTAGGGCAACTTGCATCGGGCATCCGCCGCCGGAGACGTCGGCCCTATGGTGTACCCCAACGTTTGTTCGCTACATGAGACGGTGAACATCGAGGCGCTGCTCAAGTATTCCGCTCACAGGACGGACCGGAGACAGGCAGTTTTGGATGCGTATGTACTTCGACATTGCGAACAAGGCGTGCGTGAAGGGGCTCTCTCGACAATTTGTGTGAACTATTACAAGAAGCCTCACTACGGTCGCCTTATGGCAAAAGGTCCTGCAGGCCAGAAGCTCACGCGGGAGGCCCTTGCGGTTGCCTTTGGTTCGCACTGCGCAGAGCTTGATGCTCCGTGCTGTCATCCTCGTCTCCTGCAACGGCAGCTCCAGCAGCTTGACATATGGGATCCAGTCAAGTTCATCATGCTCGACAAGTTCATAGTTCACTACAAAGAGTGGCGCCTGTGCTTGGCTGAGTACATGAACAACAGCTTGGACGAAGCCAAAGTGGAGCTCACCCGCATCTTCTACGGAGGCAAGCCATCCGTCGAAGCGCCGTTCCTCTTGAAGCTATGCGACGAGGTCCAGTGCGCTGCCCAGATGATCCTGCGCCACCCAAGTGCTCTGGAGTGGAGCGACCTTTACAATGATCGCAGGAATCCAGAATTCAGCAGACTTTCTGCAATTCTGTCAGTTGAGGAAGCCAAGATGCTAGCCGCCATCTACGAGGACATTCCTGAGCTTTTCCAAGTGTTCATCTTTGATGGCGGCTATGTCAATGACCGACATCTGGCAGACCAGGTGGCTGTAATCCGG